ACGTCAAGAGCTCTCCTTCGCTCGCATTTATGATGAAAGAAAGAATAAAGAGTCATAGAACAATGAAATGATTGCCATATATTTTCTGTTGTGTAATAGAGGGCAGGTTAGATCTATGTTTTGACCGCTTAAGCTAAGCCTATTTCGTATTTACAAATTCTGATAAGCATGAGTCCATGTGGCACCTATCCAAACGCGGATTAAAACCCGGCTTGATTAATTTTGAGATGAAAATAAAAATGTAAATAAATATTACATTCGCGGTATCCCTTACTTTGTTCCGATTCCTTACATTGTACGCATCAGTGACATTAATGCGATGGCTGATTCGTAAATGCGATTTTCCGTGGAATAAACTTATTTTTTATGCACTTGATCACTAGCGCCACCTGCACATACCTTTGCTTTACGCCACGCGTGGCCAAGGCTTTAGTAACTTTGTGGTGCGGTCTGTGCGGACCGCATTCCACGTGTGTCGGCGGTGTCAGGTGAGTCAGATGGGTCGTTCCCACTTTAAATAAATACTAAAAATCAGTTTCTTATACTGCGAAGTTTTGACGTAGGTGCAGCGAGAGCAGTCTTGCCTCTTCTTGAACTCAGAAATACCAGCCAACATCTAAGCCTTTCTCGTGGCGAAGTTTCGCGTGCCGCGTTTCATTTGAAAAACTAAAGGCTTAGCACATGTCGGTTTTAGTAAGCATTTTTTGCTTGAAGCTTCTGAGGCAAGTTCGCTCTCGCGAATAAAACGCACCACCAGGCTGCAAATTACGAATCATGTGAAACTGATTTTTGTTGTTCATTTAAAGTTTGGGACGATCAATTTGACTCAAGCGCCCGGTCATTCTTTTCAGTCTGTAAAGAACGCGGGGTCTGAGCGAACGGAAAATTGAACACGCCTGTTCAACGCCGCGGCAAGGTGTGCAGATTTAGTTAAGCAGCATGTTTTTCACAATATTTTTCTTGAAGCGCCGACTGAGTTGCGATTAGTTAATTTGTTCCGTGTCAATAAAGCCCGACGATCGCGTCACGCCAACAAACGCGATATTTTTTGAAAAGAAAAGGAGGAAGCGGGTCCTGGCCCAAGGTCTAAGCGCAGATACTCGTGGACGAAGCTATGTCACTGGCTATGTGATAATAGCGCAAGAGTCAAATTTAAGCGCAACGTAAGAACACATTTTAAGTTGATGTTATATAAGTAAAAGTGGCGGTATCGAGCACTTCAGGGTGCGATGAAAAGCAAGTTCCAGCCAAAAAGCCCGTCGTTGCTTAGCGCGCTGAATCTTGCAAAAATAAACGACACCCAAACAGTGGCGTCACTAGAGTGAGCGGCACCCGAGACGGTGGCCCGCGGCGACACCCTCCCCTCCCCCCCCCCCCCCCCCCCTGCTCGTCGCCCGCCTCCATCCAACACCTCCTAGAGAAGAAGGCCAGAGCGCTCTGAGAGGTTACGTCACAATGGCGGAGGAAGGAAGTCCATGGCGCAACTGGCGCAACTACGTGAGAATACGCTATCGACGTGAAAACAATGTCCCTTGACAAGCGGCGCGGTGGTGTTCGTTCATTCGCGTTTATCCGACATTAATATACGTTTTAAAGGCGCAGTCTTGTACAATTTATTATATATATAATATAAACGTATTATATAACGCGCTACCAAGGTTGAGAGTACCAAAATTATATTTATGAGTATTCCCGTAACCGCGGGACTACGTGCAGTTCCGCAGCACCCCACCCTTTTCGAAAGCACCGGCTGCGATGCTGCTGATGCCACATGGCTGCGATTCTGGTAAATTTACGTTGTGTGTGAGCTGCTGACTGTCTGAAAAGGAACGCTGAGACATCTCAGAAGGGAAGCAAACCGAAAATAAATCCAGTCGTTGTCGCAGGGAGCGCACACCAGGAAGAGATGGGTCGACAACGTTAAGCCTTTCGTCGCCGCTGCTCTCGTGTGTGGTACTTTTGAGACTTGTTTCCCGTCGTATTTTTGTCATCACCGTAGTCTCGGGTAGTTTTTTTTTTTTTTGTGTTCGCTTGATACTACGGCATTTACGTGCATTCGTGAAACAAGTCCTGCTACGGTTTGAGTGACGTGTGATTACTAGCCAACGAAGGCTCTGGTCGACTAATCGATAGACCTCTCTCTCGACAAAGAGAGGCTTCTTGGAGTTCGTGTTCAAATGTGTTCGTCACGAATATTGTGGGACGTATGGATACGATCGACAGGTGAGAAACAACTTATTTACGGGCTTTCTTGTTCATGTAGGACGCAAGTAAGATGCTGCAATCGTTTTTTTTTTAATCGCATGATAAATTGCAATTTTGTTCCTTGTCATTATTCGTATGCAGTTGCGTCGACATTTGTAAATATGCGCGCTAATCTAGTTTTCACTGGAAGATGAAAATCAAGTTTGTGTGATTAGGGAGTTTTAGTAGATCGTTCCGATACCTCCGATAGCCCCGATAACGATACTATGCATGCACAAGGGAGGCGGCGGCGAAGTATCGGGATATCGTTATCGGAGTCGTGGGAACGATCTACTAAAACTCTCTATTATTGAAACTGAGTTGTTTGTGGTTCTGTGTTTATTTATACTAAAGTTATTTTATTGCCTTTTCCGCGTTTATATTAGAATCTTAACTGTATTAAGGTGATAGTATTATTATATACAAAATAAGTTATGTTTTGTTCTAAGGCAGCTCGAGCCCATAGGGAGAAGTAAATTAGTAGACTACGTAGTAAGTTTAGTACCCCTGCCACAGGGAAACGTTAATATATTTTCATTCAGTGATATGGGATTTAATCAGCTCGCGGTCTTGAGTGATTATACGAGCGCCGCAAGCGGATTTGTCGACCCCACAATGTCATTCGATCGAAATTACATTAATTTTGCCATGTGGCCGGGGTATGATGCAAGAATTCAGTGACTGCACGCGATAACGTCGCTTACATGATCGTGAGAAACGCTTGTCTTGCCTTGTCCGCGTTGACTATGTCTACCTGATTTTTAACTGTTCTGTTTTGCTGTTTCAAAATCACTGCGTGTCTCGCCATTTTGTCAAAGTATTTCTGTATAAAATATGCATTCCTACAACAATAATTGCATGACTCAATGTTTTCGACTTAATACAATCACATTTTTCGATAGACGTCTTGTACGCATACCTCGTGCCATTTCGTACCGATTATTTAGCGGTGTAATATTTTGCTCGTGTAATAAAATGTTTTCTAGACCCGTTGCTATGTGCAGCTTTCATTTTAGCTAATATGACACGCGTATGTGACTAAAAACGCGTTACGACGGTCGATCTACGCGCGTTGCATTCGCTTCGACGCGCGCCCCCGATGGCCTTCCTTTGCGACGTCACGAGAAGAGCACTATGGCCTTGTCTTCTAGGAGGTGTTGCTCCATCCCCCCCTCGCCCCTCCGCCCGTCGCCCACTGCGCCCCCCCCCCCCCCCCCCCCCCCGCCGCCCACCCCCACCGGCCCGTAGCGACACGCCCCGGAGCGCTGCACCCGGGGCGGTCCGCCTCGCCCTCCCCCCCCCCCCCCCCCCCCCCCCGCACCCCCCTTGACTGCACCCGAAGCCACTCCCCGGCGGTTCCGTATAATCCTGGGGCCAGTGAATACAGTGAAGCGCCACGAAATCCTTAAACGTTGGTAGCCGCCTGTCTTCCCTGGTCGGCTCGGACCAGGACAATACAAGGAACGCCAAGGAAATCACCTCCCTGGTAGTTACGTAGAATCCCGGGGCCAATGAACACGCTGAAGCGCCACTAAGACTTCAATGTTGGCGGCCGCCTGTCTACCCTGGTCGGCTCGGACCAATAAAATACAAGGAACGCCAAGGAAATCACTTCCCTGGCAGTCCCGTAAAATCCTGGGGCCAATGAACACACTGAAGCGCCAATGTAGGCGGCCGCCTGTCTACCCTGGTCCGCTCGGACCAAGAAATGACAAGGAACGCCAAGGAAATCCCTTCCCTGGCAGTTCCGTGGCATACCGGTGCCCGGGAAATACGGTGAGACGCCAGGCTGGCAGTTCACTAAATTTCCTGGGCGGTCCTGGTCCAGTCTACTACGGCCAAGGCCCAATCCTGGCCCCAGCTAGCCCAAGCAAGTGTGCTGCTTGGGAGGCTTTGGGCACAGAAACATTTGTGTTTGTGTTGTTTGTTCTGTGGAGTTGCTGTGCAAACACCAGGTCTCTGCTTCAAAGAAATTTATTCACATACAAAACTTGAAAGTATAAAACAGAAAGGACGAGAACGGGAACAGGACATCTTTCATTTAGCAACAACATAGAATGGCACAACGATAAAACCGCCCCCCAAGGGTCTCAACGTTCTCAAAGAGGGAAAGGAGATACTAGTTATAAAGGAAGGGGAATACACTAAAAGAAAAGCTTGAAAAGCGCATCAGTAATCTAGTTATTTTCGATTACTTAGAATTAACCTTGGTCATTGTCAGTGATAATGCGGAATTATTCTTGTTTGCAGTCCAAAAAGGGAATTGTACTATAAATATAAAAGTTTAAAAAGCTGTAGCGTCACGACGAGGTGTCAATATCCTAGTCATCTCTGGTGTTAAGAATTCGACCTCTGTCTTTGTCAATGATAATGACGGTGCAGAAATGTTCTTGTTAACAGTCCCCATGGCAAATGACTCGATGATTTCTCTTCCAAATCTGTTATCGTGCCCGCCCAGTATATTAGTATTAGAAAAATGAGGTGTACAGTCATCGCATGTGCGGCTGTGAACGACAATGGGGTGATACGACTCAGTTGAAGCCTTTGATGCTTCCAAGTTATGTTCTCTGAGTCGGTGGTAGACGCATCTCCCAGTCCATGTTGTTGCTAAATGAAAGATGTCCTCTTCCCGTCCTCGTCCTTTCTGTTTTATACTTTCAAGTTTTGTATCTATTAACCAACACGCTCGTTTTCAACTGTAAATTTATTCACTTGCCCAAAGAATGGATTACAGCAGTCCAAAGGTTGCTTCTTCCAGTGCTGGCCACTGCTGAGGTGAAAGCGACAGGACGCCTTGGCTGCTCCTACGTCGAACTGAGTAGAAGGAAAAAAGAAGATACCTGCATCAGTTATGAGACAAAACAATATGGTAAGGGCTCAATCCAGTGATTTACATCTTCAGGAGACTAAGGAGAATGTAACAGTATACCTGTAATCTTTTTCAAGGTCATAAATTTGACTCAAAATTGGCTAAACACACCAGTAGCTATGACTGACCTCGTAACCAAAACCTTACGTCCGCAAAAAATTGTTTGGCGACATTGAATTTTCAAATTCGGTCCTCATCATATTTTCAAAGTGAAAGTTTCTACTGGCAGTATTAAAAATATGGAGGCTCGGGCAAGCTGGTGTTGCATACTTTTCCACAGCGCGAAAAATTCGCAACCAAGCACAGGCACACACAAAAGGAAAAGACATTCATGAAGCTCTGACTTGCAACTCAGACTTGTATTATTTCTTCTCTGCCTGCGCCTGTCTTTTTAAACAATAAGATTTTTTTTTGTTATTTTTGGTTTCATGTGGATGCAAGATAATTTAATTATTTTTTGTAATAAATCTGGACAAGGTTTAGTGACAGTTTTCTTCTAACCTCGAAATCTTTTCAGCTTCAATAACTTCCCTAATTAGTTGAATATTATTTTTACTCATTACGGGGCAATGATTTTAGTTCTGCTTGACATCTGCAATCTTGGCAATGTATGCCTTAGTTTCCAGAAGTGATTCTGTTTATGTTGTAGTCGTGTTCCCCTTGTCTATGTGACATCAGTATTTGTGACGTCGGGGTGGGGAGGGGTTGGGTTTTGGCAGTAGAACTTGTTTCCAACTTATTAGAAGAATTTCGATGGCAACAAATAAAGCCTGCAGAACCCCAACAATAGCTCAGCAGCACGAAAGAAATATGTTCCATTCTGTTCTCTGATGTGGTTGTGCTAGCCATGCTCCAAACAAACAAGAGTTTCGAACAAACCATTTGGGCTTCGTAACGTGAAGAGGGGTACAGTTTCTATCATGAAGGAAGCCATTAGCCGGGAGATTTTATGGGACGAGCGAAGGCGGCGGAACTAGATTTCACACTTCACCCCGCACAGCCATACAGCGCGGCACGTTCCCGTGCACCTACGGCTGTGAGTAGCAAGTATGTCAGGGAGCCTTTAAAAAGGTGGGTAAAACAAAGTTTTTCAGTGACCGAATCGAGGAGACTGATAGCTTAATGTACCGACACCTGGAAAAGTAACCCAGTTGTTGTTGTTGTTTACGGGTTTTATGGCGCAAGAGCTCCGACGGCCATACTGCGCCAAACTAGGTAGGATAAGTAACCCTGGTTTGCAAGTTTTGTCGTGGGAGAGTTGGTATTAACTGGGGTGCACTGCGAGTTGTAGAGGATCTAGAGTCACACCGCCATATTCAGCTCAAGAAACCTCGTCTAGGCACAGGCAACTCCTTCCGCAATCATTGAGACTATAAATTAATTAATACACTTGTGTCTGGTTATTTTTTCTGTTTCTTTTGACTTTCTGAGAATCGGGAAACTGAGCAAGCAAATTTAATATCTAAATTATTCTGAAAAACTGAGAATTTAATCAAAACAAGCTCTCAGAAACATCAAATTTTCCACAAAGGTAAACTCCAGAAAACACCCTCCAATGCCACAAAGGATTACATTCTTTTCCCCTGTCTTTCTTCTCCGACATTGTTTCCCTGCTTTTATCAGTCTCGGGTTTCCTACATTATGACCGACAAAGGATTAATTCTGGAAACACGGAATGCCGCTTATAGTGATGCTGCTATATGTCACGCTAGGGGTAGCCAGGCAGGCTCTGGTGCAGCTTGGTTATGACCTTCCTCGCAAAGGGAAGTTTTGGCATTGCATATGAGGCGATACTTGCCCAAGTCTAGAGGTTACCTTGGCAAGGTTGTGGAAGCACCCATGCTCACAAGTACGGTAACTGCCCAGGTCACCTTGAAAGGTCTCAACACACGGCAGGCACCATCGTCTGTCGTAGGTATGATGCGCTGCAATGTCTGATGACACAAACTGCAGCAAAACAAAACATATTTTTCTGTGAAACAGTATCCATAGCTGCAATCTCCGTACCAGCACACTGCATGAGTAGCTAATCTCATTGCGCACTTCTTTCTACATTAGAAGCACAGTTTAGCCTGAAGGCGTCGGCATATTTCGGTTCCACGTATAAAGTCACTCATACAGATTTACGTCAAACAAACATATTTCGCCACGTCTGTGGCTGTGGCAGAAAATACTAAGAAAGGCGAGATAAATCTACGATTGCATGCTTCAAATGGTCAGAAATGGGAGAAAAAAACCCCGAGACACTTTCCTCCCATTTCTCCTCCTGTGAACAGCAAGGTCGAGGGAGCCCACCAGTGGTGCAATCGGTGGTTTGTACGCGGTGCTCGAACGTGATTAATTTACGATGTTTGGATACCATCATTTCAGCCATGTTGCGATTACATGGATACCTTAAGAACTGTCAAATGCTGATTGAAAAAAAATTGTACCGGCTCATTCACGGCTTTCTTAGCTTTGGTTGCTCCCATTACGGAATAAAGGGTTTGTTCACCAAATAAACAACGCACTCCCGAGCTTCATCCAGTTTGTCACTGAAGGCTTTGTTCGTGTTCGAAGCTAGATCTTTGCTCAAAAAGCACTTGGAAATTACAAACAAATCTACAACGACTCTAAGCAACCCTCGTCTCATTGAACCGCAGCGCAGTTTTCGCCCAAAGGAGCCACAAGTAACGACTCTTGAGAGCAAAATAATTATCTATAAAAGCTAGACACAATGCATGGTTCCGGCATTTGAGCACAAGGCATTTGACGTCTTTCGGAGAACGCTACAAAAGCTTAGTATTCCAACAAGAGCTTAAACGTAAAAAAATTTGTTTTCCTCGTATCTGCCTGAACTGGGCGGAGCCACCCGAACGACCCGACGTATGCAAGATCCAAAGCATGTGTCGCAAACTGCTGTGTGCAGCACGCCGGAGCAGCCATCTTTCCGACTGTTTGCACGCTGGCTCACATTGTTTCGATGCACATGTGTCTTGCGTTTAACGTTTTGATGGGAGCCTTTCATTTTTAAGAACAAAGCGTCAAGTGCTAGCCTGGCTGTCACTAACACTGTTCACACACACAGTTGCTCAACGCGAAGTGTAAACAAGTACGCCCATGACATGCTGGAAAGGACAGCCTGGCGCCTAGGCAGTACGGCCACGCAGGTCCAATCAAAGCTCGCAGGATGCTGTACATAGACTGCGCGACACTGTTAAGCACTAGACACAACAAAGAAATAAATGCACCTTGATCCTACGAGAAAACTCTGATGACACAGCGTATAGTAAGACTTGCGAAGCTTGTAACTGGGTTCATGAGCTTTTAATCACTCCCGCGACACACACCTGCACACAATGTGTCATCCGAATTTACCCATTGGATCAAGGTACATTAAATTTTTTTCCGCTGCCAAATGGAAGGGAAGGTGCGACAACATTATCCTTTTGTCTTACCCTAGCATGAACTAGCTGGTAATGGTACAATTACAAGCGAGTTGCTTTCACTGGTGTCCCTCGAGCTCTCGTACAACCAAACCGCAATTAAACGCAGGGCACTTGCCCGCACTTGTAGCCACTCCGGCTAGTCCATGCTAAGACGCTACAAAGCATGGCAGGAAGCCTGCCACTACAGCACGTCGGCAGCCGGGCATGACTGGCGAGTGCAAGCGCCACGTGAGTCACATGAATGTTCCGCAATAGCTGCGTGACTTAAAAGAACCCAGATGAAACGCCGTTCGTTGTGCCATTCAGTGGTGCAAGGGTAGAACATCGGGCTCCTAATCAAAAGGCTGTGGGCTCGATCCCCCTATAGGGGAGACATATCATTGATCTTCTTTCATTAAGTGAACCCTATCTTTGCTTTTATTCTCGTGTTCTTCTCATTCGACGTGCTTCCGTGACCGACTGGGTAATCCATGTTGATCTACAACAACTGGATCGGTCGTTGCATGCTCTCAACCCTAGATATATAACACACCGTATAATAAATAAAACAAGGGTCCCGCAACGCTTACCATAGGAACCGTCACTGGCATCACTAACAGTGAGAAAGTGCAACGCAACATCGCATCGCTCGGATGTATCCCATCAAGAAAAGATTGCGCAATCTGTCAGCTGCAATCCATTGGGAAGCAAAATGGCCTCCCTGTATGTTTCGATTGAATCGGTGCAGTGGGTGGACTACACTGTTCTATGTGCGAGGCTAGCATCTGTGTATATCTTTGCTGAGTGAGTACTCTGGGCTGCACCGGAAATTATTTTCTCGCGTCCATTGCTCTCATCAAGAAGAGCGTCACACTATCACCGTGCTCCTAAATAGCATGGATGCAGCACAGCGCTTAATGTGAACTCTTTCGCACGCTACAAAAATATTACCCTCTACTTGTGCAAAAAGAGAAAACACCTTCGGAATTTCACTAAAAACATATTCTGAAAACATGGAACCCTAACTATAGCCACTCCAGTGTATTATATACTTGGGCAGGGTTGGCCAGGCTGACGCGGCCCAAGAGCTGCAAACAAAATCACAAAATTTTCAAGAGCCGCAGAGGGAGGGAGGGAGGGAGGGGGGGGGGGCCGCAGCAGGAAACTCAAACTAATTTCGGTCTATCTAATATGAGTCAAAAGCAGTCCAATTGTGCGTAAGGCAGCGGTAGCACATTTAAAACGTGTTTCATTTCTCTCTTTGGGGAAGTGCTCCGGGAGAGATGGGGGGGAGGGAGAGAGAGGAGGGATAAGGGAGGGAGCGGCGAGCCGCAGCTTGGCCACCCCTCTACTAAGGCATCGCCATGCAGGTTCTCAAGGAGGTTGGGAACGGCCTTCCCTTCTAAATTAACTCCTGGCATTGTATACTAGGCAATACCTGCTGTAGTCTATCGGTTACCTTTGCAGGGAGATGGAGGCATCGATGATCTCACGTACGGCAATTGCCCATGTCGCACATCATCATGGAAGGTCTTCATGAAGCAGGCAACTTGTCCTGTCGATGGAGACCCACACATATCCTGCATATGTGGGTAAAGTGCCTCAAATTTAATTTAATTACAACTACAACTACTTCTCTCCAAAAGCATCATGACATCAAAGCTAGCCGCTTTCCATAGATGGGGCTCACTAGCACAGCCTGGCCTTTTTTGGTCGGCGAGGGCGTCGAGTGTGTTTTGTAGCGACCCGCCACACGCCCTCAAAGTTGAACTTGCGTCGTATTCAAATTTCGGAAGAGAAGCCTACTACCAAGTATGATAGAATTGTAGCAGGGGGTCATGATGTTAGCTCCGTAGCCCCCGCAACCCAACCTCCATTATCGCCAGCCCCTTTGCCGTCTACTTCCTCGCCCATCATGACTACCCGTCATCCCTTGTGGTTGACGCTTGTTCGAAGGGAAGGACTGGCTGGCACTGCTGGGCTCTGCGCCGCTACTCATCCCAATTCCCAAATGGAGACTGCGGCTGACCGGTGACATCCGTCGTCTGCTTCCTTGCTTCGGTACCTTGCTTCGGTTAAGGAACTGTTTTTTTGCAGATAGTATAACGTGTTGAAATCGCTTCCCTCCTAATTTCAACGGCAATTCATCTTGGAAGTGCCCGCGCAAAGCTGGTGTCGCGATGTGTGGTGATATCAAACGCAGAGAGTGCCTGAAGAATTTTGAGGTTGCTCAAACGATTTGTGGATTTGTTTGGACGCACTTTATGACGAACAAATCAGCGGCAAGCGGCTCATAGTCAGATCTTCTAAATTTCCGATTGCGACACTTCCCTGATGACTTGCTAAGTGCTTGGATATGGTAAAAAAACTTTGAGTGAAACCTATTTCTTCAGACTACGGATACGGAAGGCTCCGCTTCCCGGGGCACGATGACCCAGGTCCCCACTACAGCCCATCGAGTTTTCGGACGGCGCTCGGATGCGCGCTCAGAGTGCAGTCCAGTGTTACTTTGGTGCCATCGGACGGCACTCAGATACAACCTGGATTAAAACAGTTCGCTTTTATTGTTATTGCGGTCACTGTGTAGGTCACTCACTGAGGTGAAGAGGAGGTGAGACGGGGTCCAGTCACCGCCGCGATCAACGACCGAAATCCAGCAGCCCCATCCTGGCCCCTCCGACGCGCGATGCCACATACTTTCGATTCCTAGAGCTCGCCTGTTCATCGCAGTTCGTCCAGTCTGCCGCTCACGGCTGCGCTAGCTATATCCCTTCCGTTCTGATAAAACCCACTAGACAGAACGAGTGAACGGGTGTGGTTTCGCAAAACGTAGTGTCTAGAAAACTGTCCGACGGCGCTCTTGCAGAGCGTTCAAATGCCGTCCGACGGTACTCCACTCGCGCGTTCAAGTGCCGTCCGAAAGTCTCGTATAAAACGAGTTCTCAAAACGACTTTTACGAAGGGGAGTGTGGCGTAGTGGTAAGATGTGTCACATAAGCACGTGATCCCGGGTTCGATCCCCAGTGCGGGCTTACTTTTTGTTTTTGTTTTCTCGAACATTTTATTTTGCCGACGCATTTGGCGATATGTACATTTTTTTTTTTTTTACCATTAACACAAAAAAAAAACAACGAACGTTGTCGCCGAAATTTCGCTGAACGAAATAGCATGGTACTTCGTTTCCGGAGGTGCATCGGGCACAGCGCGGCTTGTTTGCCGGCTGGACGCCGCGAAGCGGCGTGTACGACAGGGCCAAATGGGTCAATAGTTTTGTAATTAGCAGCCGCATACTGTCGCCGCGAAGCGGCGTGAACGCAGGCGGGGGTGTGTGTTAACGAGCTCCCCAGTGATACACGCGCCGTCCAACTCCCGGACGGCACTTGTAGGCGCGATTGGAGTGCCGTCGGGCGGCACTGTAGACACAGCCTTCGGAAAGTGCTTTGTGGCCCCTTCCCGAACTTGTGCTACCATGCTTTCGTGGATACTCACCCTTGATGAACCAACTGTGAAGTGGGACCGGTCAGTGATTCGGTATTACTTTCGCTGCAATCGGAGGCGTTGATTTGACCCGCTCGTTCTCGAAATAGGAGCCTTGTCTTGAACAAAACCATCCAATAACTCAAAGGCCGCAACCACGTCACACACAACGCTCTACCTGCCCCACATGCGTTGCGCCATCTTGGGTACCAGTGTTGCCAGGCGAGGAAAACAAAAATCAGTGGATACTGGATAGAACTCAATCGAGCTCCCTAAAATCAGTTAATAAAATTATGCACTTTTTTTACTCCCAGTCTAATCTTTTAGCAAATATCATAAACTATAAAACAGCAGTTTAAATAAAACTGTATTCCCAAATTGAGCTATAATTAAGAAGAAAAAAAACTTTGCTATACTAAAATGAGTGTTATTTTTATCGCGTCACTCTGCTGCAATGTCCGGCAGAAATGTTTTAACGTCCAAAAGTCTGTTTGATTGTATCAACTATTCCGATGACTTGACTCAACGCTGCAATACAAAAGCCCAAACTCTTCTGCGTGAAAACGGAACTACGTGGATGCCAGTTGCAAAACCTCTTCGTGGTCTGGATACACTGTACGGGCGGCCGTCTTGAGTTTCGGTTTTTCCGCATTTCCTTCTAGGGCATGGACGCTCCGCAACTGAGTGCGATTCGGAAATTTTATTGTTTTCTGAGTTCCGACCGATCGCCCAACGTGGCCGAAGAGCTAGGCCGTCAGGCGCTTCAACTCTGAGGACACTCTTTTTTCGATGCGAACACCGATGAAATCGTACTGTTTAGCGGTAGACTGCCTACGGTGTTACATGCGACTCAAAAAAATTTTTCTTTCTTTTTGTTATTAACAAAAATGTTTTATTATTTTTTTTTTAAAAAGCTTTATGTTTCAATGGAAACTGTGCCCTGTGAAATATTTTTCAGACGTTTCAAGAGCTAAATTGGTTTCATATAGGAAAAATTGGGTTGTGTGTGTGTTTATACAGCCTAGAACTTGGTCTGCCTCACAGGGGCGACGAGTCTCCCAGCTGTAGATGAGAAATTTAGCCAGTGCAGAACAATCGCTAGCCTGGGGTCTTTAACGTGCACCACGCAGTAGTGATACACGACCGCACGCCGGTACGATGCTCATCCAAAAGATAGCACTTACCTCAAGCACAGTTGACGGATGTTTCGCTAATATTGAAGATTTGTTCAACCCTGGCAGGATAACTGCATTGACTTTCTCAAGACTAAACAACTTTTTTTTTCACCTCGGCTGCGACAAAAAAAAAAAAAAAACATGTGAAAAAATGAGTGTGAAATGAGGTTGGCACCACCCGTGTTGCTCCACTCGACGTCCGCCACGTAAGTTTTCGCCGCCGCGGCCGTCGAATTTGTAGCCACTGCGATAGCAAAATCCCTTCTCCATGAATGGTGACCGAACAGACACGTAGTCTGTGTCTGTTATGTTTTCTATTCAAGAATATTTCAACAACAAACTTCTGTTTTGTTTTAGATGTGTTTTACAAACCTCGTTTACCGACGCCAGACAAAATGTATGGAAATCGCTGCAAAGCAACGAGGTTGTTTTTTGGCTTTCCAAAACATTAAAGCAAGGCCTCTGTGGTGTAGAATATTTAAACTCTAGGTATTTTCCGCACACATTGAGCTACTTGCGCATCAAGAAAAACGACTCTACAACGCGCATAAAAAAAAATTCATAAAGAGGTTCGGTACAACTTCGTGAAAAGATTAGAGCCCAGTTCAACAGTTGTAAAAGGCTTCACGCCGCGCGATAACGTGCGCATGTTTCTTCGCGTTGTCATTGATTGTTTTCCTAAAATTTTTCTCAAGATTTGTGAAACAAAATATCAATAATAAAAAAAGCTAGAAAAAACGCCCCTTCCTGCTTACATAAAATTGAAAGAATAAAACACGAAGGACAAGCACAGGACAACCACTTTCTTTCGTGAAAGAAAGTGGTTGTCCTGTGCTTGTCCTGTGTGTATCACTTTCAATTTTATGTATTCATGTTCAACCCGCTCGCCTTCACCAGTCCTGCTTACGTCGAGAAGTTTGGGTTGGGAGTCGTGTTGGGACGCAGCCTGGGAGAAGTGATACCATAGGCGTCCCAAACTCAACTGATCTTTTTATTTCCAAGTGCCGGTTCCCGGGCAGGTCTTCCTCCTCGGCCTCACCTCCTTTCCCCGTCTTCTCCCCCGCTCCCCACATTCCTCAGTCACCGCGGTCCGCGGGCGAGGGAATTCTCCCGCGCGGGAAAAGGGGGGACATATCCGGTTGGCAGGCTAGGCCAGGTTCGTCGGGCAGCCACGCCCGCGCGTGGCGTGATATGGTCACCACAATACTCCCTCCTTAGTGAGTGAGCGAGCGGAAGAAGGAATCACAGGTCGAGCCGCACAGGGGCCCTGATACGCCGGCTGCTGCGCGTGGTTCTCGCACTAGCTGCTGGCGGAGGTGGCACCGAAGGCAGCCTCGCGGGAGGTACGGCCGCGAAGGGGGTGGACGTTGTGGTAGCCGAGCGTTCCATGTGGGCCGGTTTCACGCGGTCGAGTGACACGACATCTCGTCGGCCACGCCTGTCGATGGTCATCATCTTGTTGTTGCGGCGCAGCACCATAAATGGCCCATCGTACGGGGGCTGAAGAGGGCGCCGCACAGCATCGTGTCGCACGAATACGTGCGTGCACGACGTGAGGTCGGCGCTCACGTGCGCGGCTCGTGCTGTCGGCGCACGGGGAGGGGTCGCTCTGAGTTTTGCCATCAGGTCCCTTAGGCGAGACGCGTAGTCTCCGATGGCGACGCGGGCTTCTGGTTGACTAGGGCCGAAGTACTCGCCGGGAAGGCGGAGTGTTGTCCCGTACACGAGTTCGGCTGTGCTGCAGCCGATGTCAGCTTTAACCGCGGTGCAGATGCCCAGAACGACTAGGGGCAGTGCCTCCACCCAGGAATGTCCCTCGCTTGCCATCAGTGCTGCCTTCAGGTGGCGATGGAATCTCT